ACTTATTAACCAATAAAACGATATAAGAATAACCTTCGAGACATAAAAAAAAGTACGATCAGTATAAATTAGTTCTTAACCGTTTAGTCCGCGCGAATGTGTCCGAACTTACAAACAGCATCGCGGAGAGATATGGGTTTTGGCATATATAATAATAATGGATGTGACGCAAGAGAAGTTATATTGGCGGTGCATGTGGAGGAATGAAATATACGTTCGGATCGAAAGTCGTGGCCTGTCGAAGAAAATGTTGAAAAATTTACTGGAAGCTAGAGAGATAAACGACGGTCCGGCGCGGCGCAACGTGGATATTACGTAAAGGAACTCGTAGAGAATACATAATCGACTGAAATTTATAAAGTGCAGGTAAATCGCTTCGAAGCGGTAGAAAAAAAGATACAATAAATTTAAATATATTTACGTCAAGCTGAGAACTGACAGGAGTAGTATAGAAAGTATCTATGTTTAACTTTCTCTCTTCATTTAACGTTTGACGATATAAAATATTTTTAATACGGATTGCTATTTAGTTATTTATTCTGTCTCGTTCTTTCACAGGAAAATTCATAACAGTCTTACGATAGACATTATTTTTTGGCACTTTGAGTATCGATTGAGTGCGAGAATCGGAGGATCTGTAAAATGAAAGAAACAATGCGAAATACTAATGGTAACATCGATGATCCCTTTTATCTTCTCAAGCGAGAATAAGTCACTTGTTGTCGTACAATACTTGCGTAAATACTTCGCTGAGATCATCATCAACCTATAGAGCGATGAGGCATCCTTTACGAACCGAGCTTTAGGGTCCTTTTGTAACTAAATCCGCACTTAATGAACTCTATTATAACGCTGAAAGCTGGTCACACCGTAGATAGAAATTAAATTAATTAGTTATGTGTATTACTATGTTAAATCATGTTGAGACGTGAATATTTCGTTACATTTTAGCTCTCAGGACCCAAGGGAACGGGATGTGTATAAATATGTGGGTTTTTCTTTACAGTAAAAAAATATTTAGCATACGAGAAGAAAATTATATTATATAGCAAACGTTGTTGGAATCAAAGCGACAACTTTACCAGTCTGTTACTAAAATTCTAAATGAACGAAAAGAAGTTGGAGGTTTTCGGGCATCCCGGCGCGTACTAGCAGTTTACTTACATCCGCAGTTCGCTATCGCGGCGACTCGTTGTCAGTGATATGTACACGAAGCTCGCGAAACTCGCGCTAGTCCCTCTTTTTATTGTCGCGACGAGTGACGTCAATAGCCGCTAATCTTGGAGCTCACTTCCGAAAATTATGACGCTCGCAGAGCGCGGACGTTTAGGGCGATTATTCGCTTGACAATGACATACGGCTGTCTCCCACTTCTTTTCATTCGGCGCATTACACAATGCTTTTTGTTACGCAAATGATTTACAATTATGGAATATGGAAAATTAATCTCAATAACACGGAATATATTTCATTTTTAATATTTAATTAAAATAATATATTTACTTTTACGAAATTTGAACGTTAGATAATTATATATTTATCAAAAATATAATTTTCAAACACACTTATTTAAATAAAATAAAATTAATTGAAATTGAAATGTTTTAAATTTAAATAAAATAAAATTAATTTTATATGTAATTTATAAAAACTTCTTTTAAAGTTTTATGTATTTACTTTTACTATTTAAAGTTTAGACAAAATTATAGATCAGTTTCCATTTAAATATTACTTTTAAAAAATTTCATATACAAAATAAATTAATCTCATTTAGTTGACAGGATCGTTCTTTATATAATAAGGTTAAAATATTATTAATAATTGTTAACAAAATTGAATATTAATGTGCTTGCCGAATTTATAGAATCTAAGCATAATATCGATCGCGAAAAAATACACACCATGCGAAGCTTAAATAAGATCGTCTACCATAGTAATAATGCAGATGTAAGAACACGGCCTACATAAATCAGAGCAAATTTCCGACTGAAATATCGACTGCTTGCACTGGTCTTACGGATTCTCTCTCTGGCGATTCTTTATCAGAAACTCTGGCAGAAACTCTGGCAGAAACTCAGATATAATCACTTCAAGGCAAGGATTTCTCGGTCGCGTATAAATCGTCGTGGTTTGATAGGAGGCCGCTATCGTTACCCTTGGCCGTCACCGCTGATCGCAAAACACGGCAATTGTCGCCGGCAATCGTCGTGTTTTCCCCGACGGAAGAGAGAAAATCGCTCGTTTGCTGGCGAACTGTACAGCTGTGAATCGCACGGTTATGGCAGCCGTCGGTTTTCCCGCCCATGCTTTTCCTTCTCTTCCCCTTTACTCCTCAACTTCTAAAGGAAACCGCACGTTCGATCCTCGGGGTAATGACGCACGACCTCGTCGTTATCGTCGTCGTCGTCGTCATTGTTTCTCGTGTTATCGACTCCCAAAGATGTCAAAGTTGCGCAAACCCTAAGGTTGAAGGCTGCAATAAATGACTTCAAGAAAGTAGCTGCAATTTGGTCGATGTGTTAGGTATTCGAGGCCTATTTCGTACACTGAGGGAAAAATATTGTAGAATCAACAAAACAATGTTGTTGATTTTTCAATTTATTGATCCAATTATTTATCTTATTGAATTAAATACACGTCTATTATTTGAAAAAAATGAAATAATTGAATTCTGAAAATGGTATCATACAAAATCATTTTTTTTAAGTTAATGATCAATTTTGTTAACTCAATAAAATAATTTTGTTGAACCAAAAACCAAAAACATTAACGTTTTTAAAAATAGTAAATTTATTCAAAGAAATATTTAGTTAATGTTATATTATGTATAATTGATATTATAAAATATTTAGTTAAAAAGAACAAATCAATATAGTCAACAAACAAAATAGTCAAAAAGAACAAAATATTTTGTACAAATATTTTGTTAACCTAATCAAATCATCAACATACAATCTTCCGGTTTTATTAAATCAACAAAATTTTTTTTGAAAAAAATAATTATTTCTCCCAGTGTAACAACGAAAATGCGTATACGCGGAAAAAGGAGTATTTATAACGATACATAAATTGTAGTTTGTAATAATATCACTTTTCGAATCTAATGTCATATCTCTAAAGGGCGAAAGTGATTCACGCGCGCCCGCCACGTGGGTCATTCTACACGCCCACGACGTTTCATCCAGATTAATGATATCTAGCTTAACGATATCAGACATCAAGGCCGTTATATGGAGAGATACAAAAAGAAGGAGAATTATCTCTCGAGAGCTACGACTCTAGCTTAATCGCGTCAAAGGATTAGCATGGCAACGAAATTCGTCTTATTATTGCTGTTTCTCAGCCGAATGACTTTTAGAAACGAGCGCTGAGTTATTAAGTTTGCGAATTAGGTCAGCTCGGTGTTTCGAATTATTTGCCGAAGATTTCATCAATCAGTTCGCTCACGAATTTATATTTTGATATGAGAATCCGTAGTGTCGGGATATTTCCATTGCTAAAAGAAATTAAAACTAAATGGCAAGAGATGAATAGGAATAAAAAAGAAAATTTTAGAACGGCAAGATAAGACTTAACTTTTGATATAATCAGCCCGTTGAAAACCGCAAAACACAATCTTCCAAAATCCCGGGGTAGGGTAGATACTACGCGATGACCTAATAAATATATCACCGTGTCTTTCGCGACGCGAATATGGTTCGCAAAAAGCTGCGGGCGGTTTGCCGGTTGACGCAACGCTGGTTTTAGAGTCCGTTAATTTAGCGGGGGGTGGGGGCTTTTTGCGCGCATTGATTAAGCGTGTCACGCGATAGAAGCGTCTCGATTATAAATAATTTTGTTCCAGCGGCGCGTTTTGCCTCGCTCGATTTGTACTGTGTGCATATATCGCGCGCACACACACACACACACACATATGAATAACCGTGTCGACGTAAGAACCAAGCGCAATATTACTGGCGCGGTTCTGTGCAGTGACAGTAGACGCACAGCTTGCACACATCTATAGCCGCGCGCTCGATGTTTGGGCTTAGCATCGGGCGGGCACGTTGGCACACATATTTAACCTCGTTTTTGCTTTGAAGCCGCCCGTCGTTCGGGGTCTCTCTTTGAGTCAAACGCGGCTTGGCCCACTTCAGTTGATCACCCTCGACCAACGACCGAAATGCTCCCCGCGTGTTTATACCGCGAGACAAGTCGCGTCACGAAAATGCGGGGCGTCTGATATGACGATAAGTTTACGAGCCCGGGATTTACTACTTCCAAGCGCGTCTTTTCCTCGCGAAACACCCCACCGCGAGGTCGATGGCGAGATTTGGCGGGTGAACGATTGCGAGATGTCCCAAGGGGATGTTAAACTTGGATGAACATATATATTCGAGAAAAGAAGATTCTTTTTTGCTACTTCAGGGATTTTATACAACGATTTTGTTTCTTTTACATAGTCTATATTTTGAACTTAAAATCACAATTTTTTCTTAATTTATTTTAACATTGGTAATTATTAAAATGTTTACGATTAAAATAATTAAAAATGTAAAAAACTTAGAAAGTACCGTAATGACAATGATAAATAGGGAGTTTTTGCAATACCGTTTTTTCAGATACGGTAAACGTATCTGAATTATATATAGATACGTTCACCGTTTAAATTCACATTAGGAATTTTGTTACGGTAATCATGACTTTGATGATGGTATTTGCGAACGTTGATACTCATGGTAATCGCGAACCTTATTTTCTTAAAAATAACATGGGATGTTATCTGAATAACGTTATGGGATGTGCAGTTTTGCCTTTCGACCGATAATGTGAATTTAGACGGTGAACGTATCTATATAATTCAGAAAGACGATATTGCAAAAAGTTGAAAAATTACCGTAAAAGACATCGGAGATTATATTACATATGTCGATTGCGTATAATGTCAAATTTTCCTCTATGCTACCCTTCATTAAGTATGCGATGCATTTTGTGCGGGGTAAAATAAACATAGCTTAATATTACAATTTATAATATTTATTGTCTTGAATCATAAACAAAATAGGCGTTGCATGGGTACATATTGCGTGCTACGAATTTCAGTATGCATTAAATACTGGAACATATAAATAGAATATGAATAAATTCGTTATTCATTTACGTACCATGTTAAGTACCTTCCTGTTTTATTCATACACAGCGCACAACGTCGATTATCTTACAGATTGTGCAGCTTTTCTTACGTCTAATTTTAATCTGGATTCGCGCAAAAACGGCAAGAGAGCTTTTCCGAAATGAAAGGGTAATAAGCATGTTTTACATATATTCGTATCCGTTTTGTTCTATTATGCCAGAGAATTATGCAGAGAATCTCATGACAATTTTATATAAAACATTAAAAATTTATATCTTGGGTTTGGTTAATTAACAAAATTGTAAAATTGTACTTGTGACCGTTTCATCCCCAGCTCCGCAATGTATTTTCACGACGTTGTTTGCGGGAAAGACGATGCTTTTTCGGCCTGTTTGTTAAATCACGGAGAGAGATATTTCATATTGAATTATTCTTATTACCACACTCTTATAATATATGTATATAGTACCTCTTTAATAATAAGTAATACTAACATAAGTATATCAGAAGGCTGTCACTTTCCGAGCGACGAGAGAGTCATAAGATGGCCGCTAATTCTCAAATCGTACTCGCGATTATTTCCGGAATCCTCGTCCTTCCGATCGATCGCTCGGACAATCGCAGTCAAACCAATTTCATGGCTGAAACTCGAAGCTGTTACTGTAAAAATAGACGACGACAAAACCAGCTCGATTGCACGACTGCCGAATGGACGGCTAAAATACGTCGCGATATTTCTACCCGATTACTATCCGAGACTATAAACGAATCACCACCACCGGCAGACCAACGGAAATCGATACTCGTGTCAGACTCGATCTACGGGTTGCCGTTCTCTCGACGTGGGGATATAATGTGAAAAGGGTGTGCGCGGTCAGTAATGAAATAAATACGCGCAGATCGCACGAGAGCCTCCTCGGTCGGTTTTTCTGAAATAAGCTGATAAAAATATAGCCACCAGAAATCCCAATACTTATACATCGATCCGCGTGAGTTCGCCTAATATGATCAACGCAATGTGACGCGTGAAATTGATTGCGAAATGTGTGCTGATGAAACGTGAAACTGCACGCGAAATGTGAATTTTACGATTAAATAAATAAAGAGATTGGATTAAGGAAAATTAATTAAGATCTCTTCGTCGTATCACCGGTCGCGACGATTATCCGCAATGATGATGCCATGGATTAAATGATATTCGCGGACAGGATGATAGGACGCGAAGACGCGTTAAATCCTAACGTTAATGATGACGATAAAAGGAACGTGGTCCATCGATGCCGCGAAACGGTCCGAACCAAGTCGGACTGAACCAATTACGAATCCTGATCACCCCATTCGAATTCCTCGCCGGAAGTAACCTCTTCGATTTGCGGTCCATCCTCAGCCGCCGTCGGTCCCGTTTGCGGCTTACTTTCGGCCCCTTCTGGCTCCTCGACGAAAGGATCTTCGATTATCTCGGGCTCCTCTTCGTGGACATTCTCTTCCTCGACCTGAAAGGCAAATTTCTTGTGATTCAACTCGTTCAGCGATATTTCGGGAAAATCTTCTCTCTTCAACTATTGATTCTTGAATGAGTTCGAACTCGAACTCCTTTCTCCACAGAAATTCGGTAAGTTATTTGGACACGAAGTTACTAAATATATATCTGATTTTAAAATAACAATGCTTAGAATGATCTAATCTTAACGTTTTTGTGCAGATATTGTTTAGATGAATTTAGAATAATTTAGAATTGTTTACATTGAATAAAAGTCGACAAAGTTGAAAGAGAATTATAGGTATAGTTTTTCACGATGCTTAAGTGATTGCTTACCCGTGTTTCGTCATCCGTGGTAACATCGCAAGGCTTCTCTTCCTTCTCTTGATCGGTTATTTCGCCAAGATCCGCCGGCTCCTCGGTACAGATGTCTTTATTTTCATTAGCTTCAAGCTGCGTGACGTCCGTCTCTTCTTGCTCTTGCTTTTGATTATGAATTTCTTCGAGATGCTCCTCGACTATCAATCGTTCTTGCTCCTGTATGAGTGATTCGAGATTCGCCTGGTTGATTAATCTATTAACAGAGAATGAATTAGATTCCAAAATGACGTACAAAAAATATGATATAAATATTAATTTCCAGATAAATATAAATCCATGTATATTTTTTGTCAGTTTAGACCGCTTCTTAAAAGTTGTATAATTTTAATCATTATGTATTTGTTATTAATCGTTAATTGTTTTTATAAGTATCTTCGTTTTATTCTATCTTTGTTTTAATTATTCTCAATCGACAATAAAAAAAAAACTTACTTTATGCACAGAGATTCTTTTTTAAGGGCGATTCGTGAATCACTTATTGGGAGCTTTCTTCTAAATAACGAGCTTACCTTTCCCCCTCTTCTATTCTCTCCACTTCCTCGCGTTCAGCTTGTAACTTTGCCTCTTCCGCCTTTCTCTCGGCTTCCTGCTGTTCGATTTCTAGTATCTGGCTAAGCTCGGCTTTCCGTTCCTGCGCAAGTTGCAGTGCCTCCCACGCTTTCTTCTCCTCCATCTCGAGCTGCAGCCGTTCCTCCTCCGCGGCCTTCCGCCTCTCCTCTTCCGATCTTCAAAACAAAGTTATTCGCAATTGGCAAAATTATCCGACATTTGAATAAAATTTATATGAATTATAATGAAAATAACGTGTAATAAAGTCACGAATTATACTATTTGGAATCGCTATTTCGAAAAACATGCCGATGTGCGTGTATGTATGTGCTTGCGTATAGGAAAAGCTATCCATCAAGTTTTTTAATGAAGCTTGCATTCCATATTTTTCGGTGCGCGTTTCTCCCATATTTTGCAAGATAAAACTATACACCGCGTGAATGCGAATACTTTTTACAGGAAAGTTTTGTGTTGAAAAATCTAAAATATTTTTGTTGCATCTAAAATTATCAATATCACCGACATACTAATGCAAACTTGAAATTAGGACAGCTGCTGTCACTGTACATCAATTTCAATTATCTTAGAAATAATAATAAGTATTTTATCATTTTTTATGTTTAAAATTTACGGGATTTATTATATAAAAATTGAATATTTTTTTACAATTGATTATTACATCAAGTCAGTACGTTTTTGAACCGAATGACATTTTTCGAACATCGAGCGAAGGTCAGATATTTGGCGAGTCGATTGTCGATTACCGCGAGTCATATAGCAGATTATTTGGCCGAGTACAATGCTATAATGTTATGCAAAACGATCGCATTTATAGCAAGCGATTGGCTCGTTCTGTTGGCGCGTATCGTTCTTAGACGAAGATCACTTACTGCGCTTCTCGAGCCGCTTTAGCAAGGTACGCCTCGGCCCTCCTTACGGCATCTTCCTTATCTTGTTTCACTGCAACATAGTTTCATTAATATCGATGATGGAGATACTATTTCATGGCGAAAATTCACGACGCGTGTTTAATGCTAAAAGTGATGCTGAAATTTTATTCTTATATTTGTCAATTTTGATTTATCGATGAGTAAACACAAAATTAAGAATATCTTAAAGAATATTCAAATATCGATATAAAATCAATTTTGCTATTTTATTAATGAAATACTTGGATTATATTGAAGTGCTATTAATATTAATATTCATATTAATTTCGCAGCCTCCGTTTAATGAATTAAAATTGATGCTATTAGAGAGATAGCCTTCAGATACAGCTCCGAAATTAGAACCTTTACATTCAAAAGTTAAAAATGCATCGTGAATACAGATGTTTATTTACGGCGATTATATCTACTTCTAATACCGACATTATCTTGCGTGAAATACAATAATTTTGAATATATAGGATTGTCACGAAAACAGAAGACACTTTACGGGGAAATCTTGACGTCATTTTTACGAGGAAGACATTTATCACGAAAACGGGCGAGAGAGACACTGGACGCTATCTAGACACTAGACACATTCATTCTCGTGCGATCGATACGGGAGATGCTGTTAACAACGACGCAGACCAACGGATCGACTCTCTGCCTACCCTGACCGATACCAAAAGGTATCTACCGTTTGCGTGACAGGCTCGTTTCCGGTGTGGAATATTTCCGGCCCGCGGTACCGATCGATATATCAACGTACCCTTCTCTTCCTTAGCTTCGTCACTTACGGCCTCCGCACTTTCGGTCGGCGCTTCCTCCGCGACCGGTTCTGTCGGCGCTTCTGGCTCTGCTATCGGCTCTGAAACAGGCTGTGATTCCTGCACGGGCTCGGGCTCCGGTTCCTTTACGATTTCTGGTTCTTTCACGGGTTCCGGAGCAGGTTCTGGCGCAGGTTCCGCTTTAGGTTCGGCCGCCTTCGCGGATTTGGCCGATTTTGCCGCTTTCGATCCCTTCGCCGGTTTCGAAGGTTTCACAGGTTCCGCAACTAAATCCGGTTCTTTCACAGGTTCCGCAACTGACTCCGGTTCTTTCACAGGTTCCGCAACTGATTCCGGTTCTTTCACAGGTTCGGGTACAAGTTCAGGCATTGATTCGGGTTCTCTTATCGGCTCTTTCTCCGGCTCCGGTTTCTTTTTCGCTTTTTTCTCTGGTTTTGCATCCGATTCCGGAGCAGGAGCTACGATGTGTAGGGATAAACATGAACGACAAATGACACAAGGAAATTGATCTGGATTTTGCAACTTTATATGGAGACTTACTTTTTTGTTCCTGGCTTGTTGAGTCGTAGCCTAATGCGCGTACTAAAAATTGTGAGAAGACGTTAGACGTGGGATACAAAAGAAAGGGCACAGTAAAACATCACTCAATTATGAAAACATACAAAAATGATGATTAAAATTTGAGTTGCTAGGCGAGAGTGACCCAATTCAAGAATAACTTCATTTTATTGACGAATTTATCATAAAGTCATTGAATTAACCAACTTGAAATTTTAATTTACACATAATTTAATACGCAACTTTAATGTACAAAAGAAATAAATTATTTATAATTTGCTATTTCACGAATATTTATAAAATAATAAAAGACGTTATATATAATTCAGATATATTTATGTTTCTGCAATAATATTTGTATAAATGTTAAATAATTTTGTTATAAAAATTAATAATGTAACCTTATATTTTATCGAATTTTTTTTGTACATTCTTGTATTCTCTCGTCAGTTTTTATAATAGAAATATAATATGTATAAAAATATGAAGGTATGGCATGTGAAGGTAATTTTATTCGATATTTACGTGATTCATATGACATTAAAAGTTATTTTTTTGTAAAAACGTCCCCACGATCGCGACCTTTTCTACTGGACTTTACTCTTTTGTTATCTCAAAAAGGATTACTTCGTGTGTGCTTACTGACCCTTTCGCATCTCTCGTTCTGTCATTGGTTGACCGGGAGCTGTGGGGTACATGAAACATAAAGGATCGATTAGCGACAAAGGATCCTTTTAAAGCTCGCGACATAAATCCAACGAAGCGATAAAGACTTCACAGAGAACGTGATATTAGAAAGCTATTACTGTGATTATATACAACATCAATGTGAAAAGCAGTTGATGAGGCATGTTCGTTAGTTAATTACAGATCATCTAAGACAAAAGTGCACGATTTTATGTACATATATGCGGAGATATATGCGACGAATTAATAAAAAAGAGAAATTAATTATACTAATATATGAGCTATTAACGATGAAAGCATTCTGAGGATTAAGGATGAATTGTCGAGCGCATTTTCGATGACGCGAAAATATCGCATACGTCGATGTCTTTTCGTCAATGAAGTCGGCAATTAATGAGATCACAATTTTCGTCTTTTCTCGTGAAGATGATTCATTGGTCGTCACGATTCGTTTAGCGTGACGTCCGATTAGAGATCACACTCGGTCACATCTATAGCGATTGATTTGTCGGATTTTTATCTCTGAAATCAGATACTTATAATCATATATTTTACAATCAAATTAAATCAAGTTAAGTAACTCTTCATATTCTAACGTCGATTTAAGCCATTAAATTATACGTTGCGTCAGAAATTAGAGCAAGGAGTTTTAAGAAAGTAATTATTAAATGCATTCTGATCGAAAGCTTTCATTAAAATTAAAATTTTTCTGTCCAAAGAAAATGTATTTTTTAAATATATTGAGAAAGAATTATTCAGGATAATTTGTTTTTTCAAGAGCGTTAATCTTAATGAATTCCACAAATAGTGGATTTCAGAGACAAAACGAGACGTCGTTGGTTGTTAAACTACGAAGCACATATGAAGAAGCTTACCTCGGAAACAGTGTACTTATTCGTTACGCAGCTCACCTACGTTTCCATTATTCTCTCGTGCAAAGTAAAGTAATTGACTTGGAGACTCTCGCTTCCATCGGACATTATTATTTTATTCGTATGTTTTTTTTTGGTTGCTATCTCTCAAGCACGAACAAAACAAGATTTACAAAATTGAAACAGTGACATCATAATGCAATACGTGCAACATTGGATTAGTGTCTACATTTTTATCTCTTCGTATGTTTTATTTTCTCTAATGAACGCGCGCAGGTCTCGCGATTTTTTTTGTCGCATTAATTCAATCAATTTGCTCCTGTCTCTTTATCGCACTCTGCTTTTTTTTTTCTTTCGTGTTCGTTTCACTCCGTAGATCGCATCGATTGAGCACGATCATTTCGATAGTCACGACAATTTTACACGCCCGTCGCAATTTCATTAAAGTCCATCGAGTAAAAATTGAATGAAGAATGTTCGGAAAATACAGCACGTTCCATGATTATTGCGAATATCGGCATATTGGACTTTAATGAAGCTGGACGACGAGCACACGACCGGAATAGAAGAAAGGAAAAATAAATAAGCGGAGACGGATATTAGATTTTTTCGATCATGACTATCTCCGATAGTCGCGCGCAGTAAAATAATTCTGTTTAAAGAGGGTTTTTTTGCCAGGTTTGCGAACCGAATATAAAACTGTGTTTAAAAAACTGAAAGAGATAAAATTTTAAAAGTGAAATATGCAAACTCTTCCTGTCGTTTAATTGTCATAATAAAATTAAAAATAAAAATAAAACGTTGATTGATATTAAATTTGTATAAAGTATACCATAGCGGCAAAAATCTTAGCAATTCTTGCACAGTTTTTGCAATAATTTTATTTCAGAATTGAGATATTTTATTATTGAAATGAAAGTTTATACAATTTAATTCAATTTCATGAGATCGTATTTGTGTTCGTATAATCTAGTTTGGTTCCGAAAAATTTATTTTTCTCTTTATCACTATTTCTCTGCAGATTTTATTGCTAATTTAGAATTCGTTATTATTTTTAACATAAATTTCATCGACACCATGTTATCTGTAATTTTTTTTTTTACATTTTAATAATTTAGAACTCATTGACGTAAGGCTTATACTTTAAAAATTCGAAGGATAAATTCATAAAAAGATAAAGAGTTCGCTTTCGGTTTGCAATCCTGCAGCTTCCGCATATCGCAAGATGCCTGCTGTATCTTTTCGCGCGCGAATACGTAACTTCCGGAACGTTAAAGCGGACGGTATCGGCCACAGTTCGTGTGATGATGAACGACGAAGTCGAAGTCACTCCTCGGCGGCGGCCTCCTCCTCTTCCTCCTCTTCGCTTTTCTTGCTCGGCTTCTGGTACAGCTCCGGCACCTTCTCCCTCCAACCCTTGCCTGAAACGTTCAAAAAAGCCGCACTGCTTCCTTTCTCTCATTTTTGCTCTATCCGCGAGCGCCGCAAAATTCTGCTTTTTGGCGCGTGATCCCAGTCTGTGATGTTCCGCCTGGAGTCCCCGTCGTGTAAATGTCTTGCTCTCTCTCGTTCCTTCGTTTCTTTTGATTTGGCTCACGATTTTCTTTTTGGTCACTATGTCGTTTTCCCTGTGTTTTCCGGTCACCGCAACAAAAAATAGCGATAGGTCCGTTGGTTCGCAAAAAAAGGAGGCGAACCGCCGCCGAATCGATGGATCGATCTCACCGGTATAGCCGATGATTGAGTCAATCGTCCCGGAAAAGAGCATGTATAACTCGATCTTTTTGTGAATAAATAAGAAAAATAATTACTTACAATTGATTTATATTTTGAAAATACATTATTTATTTAGATTTTGTCACACAAATTGCATTGTGAAAAAAAAGATTTAATGATAATTAAAACAGAAATTAACATTTATGCTCTTACCGCAAAGATCAATTCAATCGCGTGTTCTTTCCTCAGAATAATAATAATAATAATAAAAACGCGCTGTATCATCGTATCGGATATCGCATGACGGGGTGGTTATCAAAAACGGATGCGTGGGGGGTAAGTGTGTACGTTGCTGTTGTACGATTAGACACAATACTATCGAACAGTAATGCAGCCACGACAAAAAAAGACGTACAAAAAAGAAAGACCAATTGTTGTGTGACCAACAATAAAACAGCAAAAAATACCAGAGAAACACACGTGCTCGCTAGCACAAACAAAAGTTTTCAGACAGTGTAAACCAGAGGTGCCAGCCAATCCAAGAAAGGGGATGAAAAAAAATAGAGAAACGAGAGGGCGTGGGGCGAGGGCGGTGGTGGAACGAGAAAAAAAATAGACAAAAAGAGAGTTGCACACAACGGCGTCGTGGGGCCGTCTTTTATTTTTCCAAATCTATTAAAAATCGTGTTTTGAGCTGCGAGAACGTAGCGTAAGCTATTTTTTTTTATTTCTGCAAAAATAATCATCTGTTTCCCCAATGAAGATATCACAATACCGGGATTTACCAAAATATAATCACGTCATATTATCACGAGTTGCAATTTTAATCGAAATCAATTTTAATGCGTTATTCAAAATTTAGATAAATTAAATCATAATTACAAATAAAAATTAAAATTATTGTACATGTAATCTTTCTTTGAAGAATTTTTCGCTCCGTTCTCGTCAGTCTCGCGCCTCTAACTACGTGCTTCGTGTGCGGATCACCATGTATAATATTGTATAACATCGTCAAGATCGTTCTCGGGACCGTTCTCGCACAGCGTTTCATTCTCGAAGAGCGATATCTCTTCGAGGGTGAAGCGCGCATCGCGATACGATCCCCGTCCTCGTTGTCGTCATCGTCGTCTCGTCATCGTCATCCTCGTCACCGTGACGGATTACTCACAGGCAGTCGCGGCCGCCTGACGGTTCTTGCTGTAGTAGCTGAGGAAGTTGACGTCGTTGCGGATGTCGGCCGGCCGAAGGTCCGCGACTTTGTAGTACGGTCTTCTGACGGACTGCGGATTGCCGGCGACGTACTTGATGCACGCCAGAGTGCCGAAGGTGCCCCGCTCAGGTACATCGTACCAGTTCAGATGATCGACCTGCTTCTTCGCGTTGCTGCGGCCGCTGAGCAGCCGGCGAACGTAATCGTGGTTGCGCATACGTTCCGGCACGATCTGCTCGAGGAAATCGCTGGAAATCGCGAAAAGATCGCTGATTATCTCCAATGCGAAAATGACAAACGCTATTCTGTCACTCGAAAGCGTAAATTCTCGAAAACCATGAAAAATATAAATAATAAAGCTTATTTAATTATGCTTTGGGATATTTTTGTACTTTTATCTCCGAGTCGTAGAATTATTTTGATTATTCTTATTCTGAAATATCAATTGGTTTATTTAGCATAAAGAGGTGAATGCGTTAAATATCCTTTTTCTAACGACTAAAAGCTGATTCAAATGATTTTAATGCCAGAAATCGATCAATTTTATTAAGTAATTAGTTGCACACCATTTCATTTCCGTCGGATACCTTGCCACTGCCCTTGGCACGAACACGTGGACACGTCGAAGAAGAGAATCCACTTTCGCACGAATATCCCTTGTCTCATCGTCGAAAAGCTGCGAAGAGACATATGCATGTGAAACGTTACTTGTATGAACGAGTCGATCAATCTCTCGCATGCACTCAAAGAGCTTGATCATCGTAAACTAAAGCAAATTATTTTTCAAGCCTTTTCACCAC